GAGTAGGTGTTTGGTGAACAAATGGGGGAAGGGCAGTCTGAGCAGCAGGAACAGCAGGTACAAAGGCAGAAGGTTGAAAGAACAAGGAACATTCAGGAAGCTGCAGGTTCCACAGGGCAAGAGTGAAAGTGTGAGGCATGTGAGAAGAGAGAAGGGAATGGTGAAAGACAGGCTGGAGAGGTCAGTGGAGCCAGACGGGGGTGCCTTGTGAGGCTAGAACAGATGTTCAGACTTTAACACAAAAGTAAAAGGGAGCCATTGAGGGATATAAAGTGGCCGAGTGGAGCGGGCAGTTTGATGAATTAGGGTTGACCGAGCAGGGCGTAGAAACTAACAGTCCCAGCCAAGACATACAAGATGCTTCCTCTATGCCAGCAGGCTTTATTAACTCACTTAATGCTCGCAACAACCTGATGACGTAGGTATTGGTGTTACTGTTTTCGTTTCGCAGATGAGTAAACAGATTAAGTGACTTGTCCAAGGCCACATACCTAGTTAGTGGCAAGCCAGGATTCAAACCCAGTTAGACTCCAGAGTTAAAAAATTTAACCACTTTACTATACTCAGGCCAGATCAGTGTAGGCCCCCGCCTGAAGGCTCTAGAGAATAAGCCATGGGCTAAACTGATAAACAAGCTGTGCCTTCAGGCGGGGGTCTACAATCAGTCAGGGGATTGTTGGACTGTTGTGGTGGGGGCGGGGGAGGAGGCGTGGTGATGTGAGTGAGGAGAGTGGCATTGGGGATGGAGAGGTGTGGACGGATTCCAGAGCTATTTAGAAGCCAGACTCGAGAGAGCTTGAAAGGCAGTGATGTGGATGGAGGCAGAGGTGACTTTGGGTGTTGGGGCATTTGGTGGACGGCAGTGTCCTCACTGGGACAGAGAACTCCAAGGTAGGACAGGAGAGGATGGGATGGACCTAGGGGGAGCTGACAAGGGAGGAAGTTTGGTAGATGAGACTTCTGGGGTCCCCTCCCCTCAGCACCAGTGCTAGGATGAGGCAGCGGGCCCACCACCCCCAAGCATCCCAGGCTCAAAGGGAGAGAACATGGTCTTCCTGGAGGGAGCTGGGGACATCTGGAGCAGCACCCCTCTACACTCCCCATTGACTCTGGGCAGCTGCCTGCCTGCCAGGCACAGCAACAGGGTCCAGCAGGGAGCGGAAGGGTGCCGTCTGTCTGCCCCAGAGCTGGCATCACCAGCAGGCGGCGGGTGTCGCGCCTCCCACCCCCCAGGCTGCCTGGCGCTGATTCAGCCCCATGGAACAAACAATCCCCCACGGTGACAGCTGACACACGTCACTCACCACCAGGGTTGCCTAGTGACCAGGGCCCCGGCTCAGGGTCTGTGGTGGGATCTAGGGTCTTGCCTGTGAAGGTTCTAGTTCTTACCAATTTGCATTGAGGACCACACCGCCTCTCCTCACCTGCACACCCCTTGGCAAGCCTTGCTCAAGGCACTCTGATGTATATACAAACCTACTTCACCAGTAAGGAAACAAACTCAGGACAATAGACTTACTACGATTGTCCAGCTAAACAGCTGAGTGAACACAGTGCCTGACATACAGTAGGTGCTCAATAAATTTTTTTTTTGAGAAAGCTTGGGCACTTTCTCCCAGGCTGGGAGCCCCACAAGGGCAAAGCCTGAGTCTTATCCATCCTTGATTCCCCCAAACCCATCCAGAGCCTGGTTCTCGGGAGCACTGATTCAGGTGTGTTGGATGGAGAACTGCTCTGAGGATCCCCTGAGGACAAGGAAACCCCCACTAGAGACTGTTGGAGGCCTCTGAGTAGGAAGGGGCCCAGAAAGGGACTTCCTGAATTCCAGGAGGCTTTCTCCCAGGAGCTAGTTAGCTTTGTGTTCCCAGCCTGTGACCCTAAATTCCTTCCAGCTCTCAGGACTCCAGCCCTCATGCCACCACCCCACAGGATTGTCCAAGGCCATGGGATAAGCTAGGAGGCTCAGGGAGATCCAGATGGACCCAGGGGAGATGAAAAGTGGGAAAGAGAAACAGAAGGGAGGAGAGAAAAGAAAAAGCAACTGAGAGAGAGAAAGAGAGAGAGAGGCAAAGCCAGGGAGAGAGAGAGCTGGAGATGGGGCGTATGTGCTTGAAGGTACCTGTGGGGCTCACTCCTCACACAGGAGGTGTGCAGTCAGAGTCCAGGGAATCCTGATATAAAAGAAACAGGCAATGGAAGGACATCAGGGGATGACAAAGGGAGAGATTGGTCAAGAGCCAGGAAGGACCACAGAGCAGGCAGGCAGTTGGTCCCAGGAAGAGTGAGAAAGTGGGGAGACCAAGAAAGAAGCAGGTAAGGCAATGGAGAGAAAGAAGTAAGAGGGTATGAAGAGAGCAGGAGGGAGATCATGGGATGATCAGGAAGGTGTGTGCTGGATGTACAAGCAGAGGATGCTGAGCTGAGTGGACCAGGACCAAGATGAACAGGCCATGTGGAGGGGATCGGGGTGGTGGCTGAAACCCCAATATAGAAGAAATGTCAGTAAAGGGGGGCCAAAGGCCCCAAACAATGAGCTGGAGGCTGATGATAGTTCTGTAGTGAACAGAAGAGAGGCAGGCAGGGGGACCACTGAGGAGAGGGCCCCAGAGAATGGGAAAGAGGGACCCTCTCTAAGGGCAGGCAATCAGGATAAGGGATAAATGGATATTTTGAAGAACCAGGTGTGAGACAAGGCTAGAGTGAGGAAACAGAAGACAAAGGGGAAAGTGGGGGCAGGAAGAGGAGGGAAGCTGGTGGGGAGGAAACCTAGTGGGGGGAAGCCCTGACAGGAGGGGGCAGGGAAACCCAAGGTGAACTGGTGGTAGGCTGCTTACAGCCAGTCGCTGATGGGTCGGCGCGCGGGGGGTTGGGGGTGGGGGTTAATGGGCTCTACGATCCGTAGGTCCTGTAAACAGATGCAGTTGCCATAGCAACCGGCTCCATCACTCCGGCTGGAAAAACCCACGGGTGGGGGGGGGGTGGCGAGCAGACAGACAAACTGCCCGACAGACAAACGGGGGCGATTGGATTCGGGGGGAGTAGCAAGAGGGAAAGAGCAAGGATCCCAGAATTCCTCCCCACACCCCAAGGCTTCATGGGGCAGGGGAAGGGGGTCAGGGACCGACTGACATACCCACAGACAGGCGGGGGCGGTGGAGGAAGGGGGCCCCCGGGAAGGAAGCCGATGATGGGGGCTGTTGATGGGGCGAACAGAAGGCGACCGATGGGGGATAGCAGAGAGGAGGCTCTTAAGTTTCTCCCGGCCCTGAGACCATCCGTCCGGCCCCCTCCCGCTCTGTGCAACCCCTGCCCCCACCCCGCCCCCAGCCCCAGCCCGGCCTTACGTGCCAGATGACAAAGAAGATGAGGGAGGCGCACAGCACCAGGGTGAGCATGTA